AACTTTGAGACGTTGTTAACATGAGAGCTTTTTAGGATGTAGTTTACAAAATTGTAGCTATGAAATCTGCGAAGGAGGAAGAATTTGATTTATTTTCTTTATTCATCTCCTGTAGTGTTCCAACATTAGAAATCATTCGTAGAAAACAGAAAACTGTGAGGTACAAATGGAGTATAATGAATATTGAAATCTTGGAAAGAAATCCAAATCATTGTGCTAACGAATTCGAAATGTCAACACCCATTCTCAAAACGCTTCTTAGCCAGAGCGAAAAAAAAGACATATTTAGGAAAAAGGGACACCTTACCGTTTTTAACGCTTCCGTGTGAGATTTTAATTACATGTATAAGTGTTGAACTCCGTCTTTTCTTCTACTTTACAGGAAACGAAATTCAACATTTGAAGTCAATTTTGAAGTACGTTACCTTCAACCCGATTCGATGTTACAGCTTCCTTCGCCAAGGAGTATCACGTCTCCAAAACCGAGTGGTCACAAGAACGGGAACATCCAATGAACTTTCACAATTCATTGAAAATAGTAACTGAAGAGCTTCACCGAAATGTTTGTCTTTAAAATCTTTTGCTAAGCCTCACGAAATACCTCGCTTTGGATGGCTTAAACAACTTAGAGCTTTCGTTGAAATCTCCTTGGCTATTGTGAGAGTTCTCAATGACATTTCATCGCAACTAAACTGAGGCACTAGCGACTCCCGCAAAGGCTGTGTTCTTCAAAACGCAATGCGTAATGTTTTTGAGTGATTAATTTAAATTGAGGTCGTAAACGTTGTAAATTATATCAAGTTTATTTTTGTTTCACGGTTGGTTGCAAAAAGTCGACAATGGGGCTTTTCGAGCAATGCGATACGGACAATTACTGTAAGTAGTGTTTCAACATTTTTTACTGACGTTCAAGCACAACATATGGCGTATTTTGGAGAGGTTGTGTCTAATTAGCTAATAAATTTTCCTTTCCGCAATTAAAAAGTGAATGCAAAACTTTTCCAACCACTCATAAATTAGTAATAAATGAACGAGGAATTCGACTTTTTATACAATCAAAGCACATGTTGTGTCTATGTTGTTTCATAAGCTTTTTCAATGCTCGGAACTATATAATTTTACAAAAGGAACCGAGTGAATTCGTTTTCAATGAATAGTCACTATAGAGACTGACTTGTAGTTTTCCTTTAATTTCTCTTCGATGCCACTTTTGTGTCGTGTTGTGAGATTTGTGCTGTGTGTGAATTGCTTCTGGTATCATTGGACTCAGCCTTGTGTTAAATATCGCCTGTATTTCAAGATATGTAGGATAATAAAGTATCGCAGACGACAAATTCGCTCTTAAAATAAAGCTCACAAGAAGATTCACGCGTGTGACAATCAAAGCTGTTCTACGTAACTGCCGCAAACGCTGGACAAACGCGAGACACGTATGGCACGAACTATGGCGTATATCACGAGTATGCGTGTGATTTGTTATTTGCTACTCATGATTATCTCCCTGGCTGACATGGTGATTGAAAAATATATATTGTTTGATAATCAGTTATACCCTTTCGCCGAGACTGTGACATTCCTCGATTCATCCCTAAACCCATTTCTTTATTGCTGGCGATGTAAAGACATCGAGAAAAAGCTGGTTCGTTGTAAAAGAAGCAAAATATTTGCGCTTTACTAGGTTTATCAGTCAACGAGGAACTGGACAGAAAATTTTTATCAGAGACAAATCCTTAAAAGAGAGGAAGAACGTGTCCTGTAATCTTAGTAAGTCACTGCCACTGAGTCCGCTTCTCTCCTGTGGCGGATCAAACTGGACAATCGAGACCGTTTAATAAGCAGTTCTTTGGCTATGAGTTTTGTTCGTATTCAGTGTACTGTACTGTCATAATTGATATTTCAAGAAGTTTCTCTATTAATGGCCTGGTCTTTAATACGCCATGCGACTCACCAGAATAGATCACTGAAACACACAGATAAGTCCTCTCTTATTTTTACCAAAATCTGAATTTGAACTAATGACTTTCAGGGAAGTGCTGTGTATAGGGAAGAGTTCAAAGGCTGTCGCCAGCTCTGCTAGCTCCCTTGCACAATATTTCTCATTAAAATCAAAGTAATTTTTGTTACACTTTACAGTTTTTTGCGCGAACTGATCCGCCCTTTATTATTATTCCCCGTTTTCTATGCCGGTTTTAAATTTCAGGCTGTTTTAAAAGTGAGCTGCTTCGGCTAGGCACAAAAACGTAGTCTATATATTTTCACAAAGTTACCAAAGTTATCTTTAATGATTATCGTTATATCTTACAACCTTGTTTTATAGTATCATTGCATTGGTTGCAAGAGGACCCTTTGCACGTCTTCCTATGCCTACTCTTTCCCCTTATGCTTCTCTCGAGTCTTGACTCCTGTTTTTCCTGTTCGTCTCTTACCATACCTTGGCCACACCCTCACCACAGAGATACATGATATTCTCTTCATTGAAAAGTTGAACTTTCCCCTTACAGGTTCGATTCTAATTGATTGAAGAATAAAATGAAAGTAAAATGGCTACATTAACATAGAACGTAAACCTACGCATCGATTTAACCCTTTATACCCTAACATTTGTATGCACATTCTCCACATTCTCCAATGTGTTTAAAAATTACGAGCTTTAGAAGTTGGTGATCATTTCCTTGATTATCGAGGCCATAATGTTTTATTCAGGGGTGATATTGTATGGAGAAACTAGAAGCTGGGTAGTTTTACGGGTTAAAGGGTTAAGGCCCTCTTTTGTTTCCAAGAAACAACAGATGAAACTATGCCCAGCTTGATAAAAATCGTCATAATGATAATGATAATGATCAACACCATCATCCGTCATTATTGCTTCTGAAAAAGGGTCGTCATTGTAATGGTAATGCAGATTAGGAATTAAGAAAGGCTGCTGACGCTGAAAGCTCACAGAAGTCAGCCTAAAATGAAATGAGTGTACAAAGATGACAAAATGCTCGACTGGAAATCATTTTAACGAGGGGGGGAGGATAAGTTTCTAAAGAAACTGTGGTATTGCGTCGATGCATGGCCTAGTGGGGCATTTGGTTTTATAAACTTAGTTGATAATGTAAACTGGCCTCCATAAAGAGTTTTCAAAGCTGACGTCTCACTAGTTACCCTAGGTCAGAACGAAGGGCTTACTCTTTAGAAACTCTATACAGTGGCTGATTTACATGTTCACTCAGGCGATAAAACCAAAATATCGGGAAATCTTTAGGCCAGGATGATGGCTTACGGATTTTATATCCCTGAAAAAGCTGCTTTTTGAGCCAATACGACGAGTTCTTACGAGAGAATTTGGCTTCAGTTTCGTTTAAAAAATCTAGCTACATGCGCTTGTGAGGAAGATGTATAAACATCATATAAGAAAAGAAAACTACACCGTTATAATTGACAAGCGGGAGCAAATCAAGGGAGAGAGGAAAGACTGAAATGCAGCCAGGGCTATCAGATAGGAATCACAAGCACGGAAACCCGTAAGGTAACAGGGCTGCGCTAGTTGACCGATTACCTTAAAAAATGGAGGAACGAGCGGCACATTTCCAGATAGACCCAAAACAACGGTTTCTAGAAGACCCAAAAAAAGAAAAAAAAATTACAAAGAAATCAGCAACGGCCATTTAAATATGAAACACCATGCACCAAGAGCAATATATAAGACTGATAATTAATCAATGAGGATAGATTGCCTAGCTTTTCATTACGATTTTCTTTTTGTTTTGTTTTTCATTCGAAGCTGCTTGTTAGAGATGGTCAAGAAAGCAATTTGGAAGGGTCGTCGTTTTTAATTTTAAAACACGTCTCGATGTGTTTCACACCGTCGATTGAAAAATTATTTGGAAAAAAAAAAAACTTTTTGGATTCACACCGATCTCGGGAGATATGTATGACTGTAACTACAGGGATTAATATAAGAAAAACAGGAACCAAGTGTGAAAAACTATTAAAGGGAAAATGTGAGGTTGACATTCACTGACTTTTTTATTCAGGAGTATTCTGAACTTTTTTTTCTTTTCTTTTAGTTAATATGATTAGCTTCCTTGATTTTAAGCTGGAATTGTATGTAGCAGAACTCATAACTTTGATTTAATCATGCAGAGCAGGATATTTGATCTGTTTTAATTATAAATGTTTGAAAAATTTACTGTGAAAAACGTCTCTTAATCCTCTCTTTTTTCCTTTTTCTTCCTTTCTTTCTTTCATTTCTTTTTCCATTTTTTCTCTTTCTTTCTGTCCTTCATTTCTTTTATTCTCTTCGATTTTCTCCCTTTTTCACTCCTTAGCTCTCTCTTTGGGAATCAACTTACCACCAGCAGGTAAGCTGCACACGTTTGGGTACACTTGGCATACACTGTCGTCTGTGCTCCAAATAATAACCTTGCCGTCACAGACCACTTCGATTTGCATGGATGCTTCAAAAACATCTACCTCTATTAGAAGCAAACACTATTTAGAACGCGGCTCATATTCTTGAGTAATGAACGAGTCATTCAATATGAACTGTTTCTGTTGCGCATCAATGGAAGTTGAAGAGTGGAGATTTCAGTCGAACCCGCCAAATTTAGATAGCAATCGTTAAAAAGTTTATCCAATACGGAAAATAGAAAATTATTTGCGATTAGAGTTTACAACTTTACGCACTGCAGGATACATAATTGACAATCGTTTTAGAATACGCTGACTTGAAATCTCATTTCCTGAGGCCTTCAACTCAGTGTTCTCTCGTAACCTCAATTCTCAAATCCTGGATATTTTATAGTAAACACCCTTAGTCAAATTGATAAGAAAGGGGTTACATTTTTGGCTTGGTCTTTAAACAAAGCAGAATGTGAACTATTTTTGCCTGTAATAAAACCTTGGAGCGTTACATTCAGTCGTCCGATGCTCTAAGAAAGAAAAATGAGTGGTGGATTGGACACCATGCTAGGTTCAAACAAGACATTGAGATACGTCTTGCAATTTGTCTTGCATCCTGTAAGGATTCGCAATTTCGGAAGCCTCTCTTGTGTTTTCATATCGCCTAATCAAGGAGGACGCTATCTGCAGTTTTTAATCAGTCCTGTGGTCGTTTATTATTCATTCAGAAGTCATTTTAATAATATTTTAATTATGTCAACAAGATTTCCTACAAGCCGTGGAATTTCATAAGCTCCTCCTCCTGGTTTTTTTGACGATATCACTTTTGATTGAAAATTAATAACAAATTTTAAAACCTCCATGTCAAACTCAACTTACCAGGTGTAAATGTTATATTGACATCTAAATCAATTCCAGTAGGAATGAAAGGCCATGGAGAAGCTGTAAACGTTGGAGGCTTATCGTACTTTCCTGAAAAGAATGCAACAATGGAGCATCACCTTGGGCTACAGAAAAACAGAATTAGTTTCCAATTGAGTCTTCACTAGTAAACAGTTGAGGCCATTCATTAGTCTCTATATTTTTAACTTACCTCAGTCCAGGCCCCACGAATAGCTTAGATGAAAAGCAATACATGCAGAAATTAGGTTATAACTTTTGTTTTTGCAGCAAATGAATAGCCTTATCCTCAGCTGGTTTTTAATAAAACAGCCGGCAGGCAATGAAGAGGGAAATGAAAAAATAATAGAGATGGAGAAATAATGGAACCCAGAGATCAGATAGTTGGGAAGTAGTAACTCGGTTGTTAAAAAGATAATCGACGATTATTTTTTCTAAGAGGAATTCTCAATTTTCATTTTCCGTGATATTTCTGGGGAGCACTCTTTAATTTTTCCAACACAGTTTTAGGCAAAATTTAAAATGAGTAACTTACCACAGTATGTCACGTTAATCACTTCAAGTCCAGAGCGATATCCCCATGTTCCACTTATAACAAAAACCAACAGGGAGATAGTTTGTCCCGGTTGTCGGGTCAAAATCATCATTGTCTTCTAAACCGACAGCTGAGTAGAAAAACACTGTAAATCAAAATAATTTATGGTGATTTAATTCGGTCTTTTATAATGAGCGTTTGAAAGCCTCTTCGAGATACTGTTCCAAAAAAATTCTTCATGATTCGTGCTAAAATTAAAAAGTCAACGGAAACTGTGATACGTTTGAGTGGGTTCTTTTTTTATGTAAACACGGGCAGCCAATGGGTAACTCTCGAATAGAGCTGAAACTACTTGGAATTAGTTTGAACTGCTAAGGTGATGTTGAGAGTATAGTCAGAATTCACCATTTTGGCTATCGTTTGACCTGCGCCATTCCTTAAACTTTTTATGCCATAGAAGCATATACTATAACAGATTTCTAGCGTAAAATTTGTATGAATGTGCTGCAGGTTGTAAATAAGATACTTGCTCCATTCCTTCCGGCATTCTTTTCGGATAAGATTCCATTGGATAGCTATTGAATTCCGACAAAATTGTAAATGAACGACTGGCTGGTCGGCTTTCATTTTAGGTTCCCTAAAGTTGTCAACTTTAAACATTGTGGTTTCACAGGGAATCCGGTTTTTTTACTTTCGAACATGCTGGTAGCTTCCCATTAGTCTGCTTTGATTGGCAATAGTAGTAATACATGCTTGAAGCAAAGTTTCGGAACATTTAGGGTATTTGTCTTAACATTTCCTGACAGATGACTGATACCATAATTGATCACAGCAAGTACATACATATTCAGGACCACATTTAATGTTTTCGTGAAAAGTTTGAATGACTTTTGTCATTGTGTGCATCTCTTGTGTAGAATCTCGACATTCGAATTCATGTATTTCATCAACTGCTATACAACCTGGTCTTTTAGTAGCTGGCTGAGGCAGGTCATGGTCACATGGGTTCAACCCAGATATCAAGGATCCCTTTCTATTCCGTGCACTTTTGTTCACTTCTCGTTCATACTAAGGGTTACTCGTTCCACTTTTGGAAAATGCCTGCCTATCCAGTTCTCTGACATTATCAGGATTTGATTATTTACATTTGTTAAATGCCTGCCTCAGATATTCTCTTGTTTTTTGAATATTTTCCTGATATTTTGCTTGCAGAGCTCTGTTTTGCTACTTCTTAACTCATTATTTCTTCTCCTTCTTCTCATGTCTTCCTTCATATCAGCGTTCCCTCTCAGTTCTTTGGTTGACATATTTCCCATTCTTTCATCATTGTTTGTGCTTGTACACTGATCTGTCGTTAACCGTGCTGGTTGATTGTTATGAATTATATTGTTTACCAATGCCTCTTCATTGAAAGGAACAGTTGAAACATGGTGTGATCCATCAATATGTCCAATATTTATAACATTAGTATTAGTTTCTGAGCTAACTGGACTGATATTTGTAACCGATCCAAACCCTGGATTAGATTTAAAAAACCTGGATTGTCAGGTTTAATACAAGGGTTAGGGTTAGGGTTTAGGGCAAACTGCTTGTGTAACAAGTGCATCAGCCCATGTACCCTGGTATGATATGTTAGCAATATACTTCCACTATGAATGGTCTGTACTACTTGCGATGAATCTTTCTGGGTTGTTTCTCGTATATATAACACCACTAGGAACATTCATATGATAGCTAGGTTTACCATACAACTAATGGGAAACAACTCTAAGAAGCAATCACCTGCACCACCAACATCTAATATTCTCAAGCCATATTGAGCTAATCGAGATTGTAATTATATTTGTTTGGATTATTTCCCTGAGTAACAGGTCTCAGGTTTAACTCAATATTCAATATCACCTGAAGTAAAAACATTTGGCCTTGAAACAAAACAATTGCTATTTCCTTTCTTATTCTTTATTGAAAAACATTGAACAACATGTACAAATTTATCATTAAAAACAACTATTACTTCACGTCTTTTTATGCTTAGCAGTTCTTTTTAAAAACATAAACATAACTAAGAGAAAAATACAACGTTGAACCTTTTGAACGAGTGATTCCAACTGGTTTACATCTGCACATTCTGGTTTTAAGATAATTACGATAATCAAGCGATAAAATCGTTTTCAACGCTGACGAATGTGCCCGCTATGCACAATATAGGACCTTACGTACCTTTCAATTGCTTTACTCTTGTTAAGTAAGGTAAGAATTTTCTTCAACGGTAATCTTGATGGTTCTCTACCTCGGCGGACGCCTTTGCTTATAGGATTGGACTTTTCCCTACTTATTCGTTCATGTAATTTTCCAGTATGATTTATGTGACCATCATATATGTATTCTGACTGCGTTTTGTTCTGCTTGGCTACAAGAGTGTATTGGCTGGATTTTATTGACTGATCAGTTGTGCTGCTGATGTTTCTAATTGCTTTGTTTAACCTTACGTTTGATTCATACTTTTTGTGCTCATAGGTTCCCTCATAAGTTTGATCAAAGATCGACGAGCGAACGTCTCGAGGAGTCAAAGACTTTTCGCATTCAGCGTCTTCATTCATAGTCACACCTTTAGCCCCTAAACAGCTTTGACTCGCTTACGCATGTGCTAACTGCGACGAGTATTAATCGAAACTTCCTCGAAATAAAGACGAATTATATTTCAAAGTCGAGACATTTACTTCGGAAAGTCTATAGACGCTTCCGGTATAATTCTGGAAAATCGATGTCAATCAGTTTGCCGCTGACATATCGATTTGTTTACATCTGAGTGAGTCACTAATTTGCATATTCTTGCCCCTAACAATAGTCGTCGCGACGTTTAAAAAAGAACTGACGGCAGGTTTAATGAATTCGATATTACCCGGGAAAAGATCGATAGATAAGGCTGAACCGATCTTTCGCTGAGAATCCTTCAGCGCTCCGTTGATGGTACCTTACCAAATAAAAAGTTCTATACCAACTACTAGAATTATTAGAGATGCCGAAAATTATGGGAAAAATATATACGTTTAAGATCCTCATTTTTCAGCCGAAACCTTAGTCCTTCTCAGGGGGAAATTATGAAAATTTATATAGTAACTGAGGCACTACAAGAGCTATCCCAAACTGGTCAAAAACCTTTCGTGCTTATTGCACCGATGAACCCATAGAAAAAAAGAAACATTTTCTTTTTAATAGTTTACCGGCGTAATAAAAACGTGGGACGTTGGGAGAGCACTCGAAGTCACGGTTTGTTTCTCTTATTTTCCCAACTCCTCTCGAGGGTTATCACGTCAGTACGCTGATAGAAATCGCGGTGTATTGCCTTAATGAGAGCGAGCGTAACATATCCATTTCGAAAAATGCAAAATTTGAGTTGATTAATTCTTGCTTTAATTTTATGCCATCGTTATGATTCAGTAGATTCTTGAAATTATCATCCCAAGATTCTAAAAGGCCCCAGAGGGTGGAGTTTGTAACTGCCAAGAATAAACAGTTTTCAGCTAGTGCAGAGTATTGCAGTTGTTTTGATCTATCACTTTCTTTCAGTAGAGAGGCAAATTTGCATTTCGTCTCTCAAAGGTATTTGTAGCTCTTGTCACAATTTTGGTGGGGAAATTACAGTAAATTTAAGGCAACGAGTGTATTCTTTGCGACTTTGGAGGGTTTTTGTAGCCCCAGCTACTTAAGGTAACAAGAACGGGCTGGATCTTTACAATGGTGGTGAAAAAAATTTTCCGTTCAATCAAATATTTTATCCATTCATGATTTATCGGGCAATTTGGATAAATATTTACCATCTTCGTCTGAGCTGTTGAAATATGTACCCCTTTCTCAATTGTGAGTTTTAAAAACGCGAAACATCGACCGCATGAAGAAGCCTAACTAATGAGAGAGGAGCAAGGCTTGCCTTGTATACTCTGCTAAATGCAAAAATCAAAGCAAAATGAACAAATAAAAGACTATCTTCACTGATTCTCAGCCTAGGTATGTTCTGGGCATGTTCTTAAAAATTTGGCTAATCTCAGCCTGATTATGATTGTTCATAAAAAAAAAGAAAAAAAAATGCTTATGAGAAAAAAGCCTATGTGTATGTACGCATCGCCAAGACTTGGCAAATATCGTTATCACTAATTATACTGACAAGATTCGTAACTTACCGAGAGGGATAGACCTTCAAATCTGGGTACAACTTGTCACAAATATTTTTGGAATGTAATACTCCTCTAGAGGTTGGAATTTTCCGTTAAAACTCCCGCTTGCATTCGTTGACTTTGCTTCGAATCTTCCTTATCGCCAATCGTAATCAAGAGGACGTGTCGCCGGTTCAAGTATCAACTGTGAAGGGCTCGAAACCAAACTGTTTTAAACTATTGTGACAAAAACCCAACCGAAGCAAAAGCGATGACCAGTGAGGAAGTCCTAATCAGGAAGTAACTTTTCTTTTCACCCACCCGTGCTGTGAGCAGTTCTAAAGTAGTGTAAAAGAAATAGAGCTCATGTTTCTAATCTGTATAAATTATTTTTGCTAGTCTTGAATCAAGACAACTCGTGTATCTTCCATTGAGAGTACTTGATAATATGCACTAACGCGTGCTCATAATTAATATTAATGCTTCAAAGTTTCGAAACTTCATGTGTTCTTCAGCTTCGCAACCTGTTCCCGTGCAAGAAATCAATTAAATAATTACTAAAGGCAGAGGGTACAACCATATTAATATGGCCATATCTTTATTGTCTTCTTATTTCTTTACCTTATTTTATACTTTGAGGTTCATTAGCGTTTATGAACTTTTGTAGTTAGCAGATTGAAATCAATAACTTTTAAGTAATATGCAGTAACGAGTGCTCATAATTAATCTTAATGTTTCAGCGTTTCGAAACTTCTCGTCTCTGATGATGCATGTGCCTGTCATCAATTAATTTTCTGTTACAAACAGGTAGTGAGAATGTCTAACTGATATCTGGGAGGCACGGACTGAAGTGTTAGTTGTCGAAGGGCCATAAATTTTATAGTCAAGGTCGAAGAGCGAGATGTTTTTTTATCAACCATGTCTTCAAGCCAATATTAACCTTCAAATCACAAATTCTGCGACATTGGATAACATCGTAACGAGCAAACGCAATTGCGCGTGCTTATTAAATCCGCTTTCGATCCTTCTTACTCAAGATAGAAATTTCGGGAATTACAAGAGGACTATAAGAGGAAGAAGGTCCTGTTCATTAGTTATTTTGAAATCAGTATATTATAATTTGCGTTTCTAGCAAACCGCTCTGGCCACGGTAAGATGTTTACAGGTGTGATACAAGTCATCTTGGTCTTGGGGTTTGTAACTGCATGTGATAGTGACGTTTGCAGCCAAAAAATCTGTCAATGTACCAATTTCGGTAGGACTCACGCCCTGGTGAAGGTAAAATGTCGAGGTCATGGATTCATAGCGACCGGAATCCCAAGCAATACAATAGAGTTGTAAGTGATAAAGAAACTCCGCCATCTTTCGTCCTGCAGGGCCTCTTATCGTCTTCTTTGTGTTCATATTCGCTACTTAGCTAATAGTTGTTAGACACATCCTGGATGAAGATAGTTTTAAATGTTGCAAACTTGTTAAGGAGTCTCTGTCAATGCCAAGAAAAAACACAAAGCAAAGATGATTTTCGAACGAACGTCTCGAGAAAAAGCAAACGATTTATTCATGAAACTGTCACGCGTTGTGTGACTCGGTGTTAATTTACGAGAGGAATCGTTAAGGATTTGAACACGTTATAAGGAATAACATGGAGAACGAAATATGGTCGATTTACAACGATAAATGTTCCGCAATATGAACATTTTACTCCTAAATCAAGAAAACTTACTCACATCTTGTGAGTCCGCTGTAGTTTCTGGCGATTTTTGCCGTTTCATGCTTGTTTTGCCCTCATTGCTAATCCTGATTTGAAATTAATCATAAGAAAAGTCATACGGACGTTGAAAAACTCAATGATTGGACGCTACGTGTCAATTTCAACGAAATACTTTTCTGCTTTAGATAATCGCTTATTTCATTAGTTATTCCTTACGGACCTTACCTCCTCTAGAATTCAAATTTATGTCTATTACCATTTTTACTTACAGTTCGATTTTTACCTAGGAATCTTTCAAGTTGTTCGTTGAGCTCAATTACAGAAGACATCTTCAGGAACCTGACTGTTTTAAAGAAATTGTAAGTTGCAAATAAAATTGAATAAAAAAATAATAATTAAAAAAAAAAAAAAAAAAAAAAAAAAAAAAAACTTAATTAGAAATTCGTATTGGCACGAAAAGGTTTGTCTTAAAGCAGAGTACTGAAAGTAAAAAGTAAAAGAAAAAAAAACATGGCTCTTTTCTAAAAATCAGAAGAAAAAAAAAAACATGGCTTATTAAAAACATGCCATTTAATGGAAGTAAGTATGTAGCTCTGTATGTGAGTATAAACTGATGGCTGATGGGAGAATTCGCACAGTCCAACCAAACCTCATTAACCTAAAGGAAACAGTAGTCAACATACTGCATATATCAAGTATATTCAGAAGAAAATTTATCGAGGAAAAATGGTCTTGAGATTTCCCCGAGCCATCTACAAACGCGAAGAAATAAAAAAGTTAACCATCTGATTACAAATTATATCTGAGAACTCATTGATGATTCAATAGCTGACTTACTATCTATGAGCTGGTAGATTTAAACCGTATCAGGTGATCATTAGGATACTATAGTCATCCTTCTAATGACGAGTAAAAGAGGAAAGGGCACGTAATCATACGTAATGGGAACATTTGTCTTTTGGAAAAGTTTGTGCTTAATCTTACGAGAATCAACTGAATTTTTTTTCCACGAACTCTCTCTCTTTCTAGGGACTTATCAAATAATTCGCTGCGACACATCCCTCACAACACTTTCCGCGATATGAAGAAACTGGAAGTAATGTAAGGGAATTCCTAATGATTTAATTTAAACAGTTTATAAAATGTGGTTGGGAAAAAACGAGGAAGCGTGTGGAAAAGTAATTCCCATTTTTTTCCATCATGAGAAACAACTATTCACCTAAGTGGGGGTGGCTAGTGGTGGATATTTACCGAGCCGTGAAGAGTCGAGGTAAATATCCATCACTAGCCACCCCCGCTTAGGTGAATAGTAGTTTTAGCTAGTATATAGTAAAACAGTGAGATAGTGGAGCGCATTATTTGTTTCTCGATGCGTGAGCGGGTGGTATATTACAAATTTGCAATCCGATTGGTTTCGAGAGCGGGTAGTACTCCCCCATCTGACCCGCTCACAGTGGGCGGTATCCTAACCGTTGCGTGTTCAGTCGCCTGGTACATCCCTAGCTTGCTTGCAAATTTTCATAACTATATATATATATATA